AATAATAATAATAATAATAATAAAATAAAATAAAAAAGTGTGTCCCTGAGCCTAGCACATAGAAGGTTTTAAACAAGTGTTCATTTTCTCCTCTGACCTCAAGGAAGCTAGGGCAGCACTTTCCATAGAATTCTCTGCAATGGTGGAAAAATTCTCTAGCTGCTCTGTCCAGTGTGGTGGCTGAACACTCAAAATGTGGGTAGTGGGATTGAAGACTTGAATTTTTGCCTTTGCTTGACTGGATTTTGAAAAAAAAAAAAAGTAGGCCAGGCATGGTAGCGCACGCCTGTAATCCCAGCACTTTGGGAGACCCAGGTGGGTGGATCACCTGAGGTCAGGAGTTCGAGACCACATTGACCAACATAGTGAAATGCTGTCTCTAATAAAAAGACAAAATTAGCTGGTGTGGTGGCAGGTGCCTATAATTCCAGCTACTTGGGAGGCTGAGGCAGGAGAATCTCTTGTATCCAGGAGGCAGTGTTGCAGTGAGCTGAGATGGCGCCACTGCACTCCAGCCTGGGCGACAGAGCGAGACTCTGTCTCAAAAAAAAAAAAAAGGATGGCATGGTGGCTCATGCCTGTAATCCCAGCAATTTGGGAGGCCGAGGTGGGCGGATCACGAGGTCAGGAGATTGAGGCCATCCTGGCTAACACAGTGAAACCCTGTCTCTACTAAAAATGCAAAAATTAGCCGGGCTTGGTGGCACACGCCTGTAATCCCAGCTACTCAGGAGGCTGAGGCAGGAGTATCACTTGAACCCGGGAGGCGGAGGTTGCAGTGAGCCAAGATGATGCCACTGCACTCCAGCTTGGGCAACAAGAGCGAAACTCTGTCTCAAAAAAAAAAAAAGGTAGGGTCAGGCACAGTGGCTCACACTTACAATCCCAGCACCCTGAGAGGTTGAGGCCAGAAGATTGCTTAAGCCCAGGAGTTCGAGACCAGCCTGGGCAACATGGCAAGACCCCATCTCTAAAAAGAAAAGACCTGAATTTTATTTAATTTTAATTAATTTAAATAGCGACAGGGGCTAGTGGCCACCACATTGGACTATGGAGCTCTAATGACTTGGAATCAGCTGGAGAAATCATATATATATACATATATACACACACACACACATATATACACACACATGTGTGTGTGTGTGTGTATATATATATATATGCCTTTATATACATAAATAACTGAGACTTTGTCACCAGGGATGGAGAAGTAGCTGCTGCTTTGTAAATTGAACAGGAATGTGGCCACTATAATCTGGAGATTAAGCCATGGGGATTAGGGATAAAGATGCTTTTGTGATGCGGATCAGATCAAACACAGATGGGTGAAAGATGATACTTCCTAAGCAGGATGCAATTATTCAGCAAACTAATCTGTGTTGTTCCTGCCCCTGGGGACGGAGCTGGGAGCAAGAACAACAGGTCCTCCTCTCACGCACTCACAGTCTATGAGATGAGCGAAAGCCAATAAGCAAGTGAGGAGGCTGCGCATGCACAATGGCTCATGGCTGTAATCCCAGCATTTTGGGAGGCCAAGGCAGGCGGATCACTTGAGTTTAGGAGTTTGAGACCAGCCCGGGCAACATGGCACAATCTCACCTCTACAAAATAATTAGCTGGGCATGGTGATATGTGCCTATGGTCCCAGCTACATAGGAGGCTGAGACAGGAGAATGACTTGAGCCCAGGAGGTGGAG